TGAATAATGAGTTTCCCCAGAACAAACTGTTCAAGGAGCTGTATTTTCTCCAGCATGTTTTTTTGACCCTTTGCCAAACATCATGTAACTGAAAGTGTCCAAGTTTGTTTCTGCAACCTCTTTTCTGCTCCATTGATCTGCACATCTATTTTTGTGCCAGTACCATGCTGTTTCTATCACAGTAGTTTTGTAATATTACTTGAAATCCAAGATTATAATGCCTCCTCTTATGCTCTTGTTGCCCAGAATTTCTCTTGCTATTTTGAGTCTCTTCTAGTTCTATTAAAACTTTAGGATTGTTTTTTTATAGTTCTGTAAAGAATGTTGTTGCTATTTTGATTGGTATTGCATTAAATCAATATATATATTTTAGGAAATATAGCCATTTTGAGAACCATTCATTTTGCTGATCGAGGAATGGGGGTGTCTTTTCATTTATTGTTGTCCTCTTTGATCGCCATTTTCAGGGTACTCTAGCTTTTTTAACGAGATCTTTTGCTTCTTGGTTGAGTTAACGCCTAAGTATTTAGTTTTTTGAAGCTATTGTGAATGGGATTGTTTTCTTTATTTCTTTCTTAGTGTGTTCACTGTGTATAGGAATGCTCTTGATTTTTGTGTGATTTTTGTATCCTGCTAAATTGCTGAATTTGATTGTTAGTTCTAGGTATTTTTAAGTGAAGATGTTTGGGTCTTCTATATAATAGATCAGATCATATCATTTGCAGAAAAAGATAGTTGAGTTCTTCCTTTGCTATGTATCTTTTTAAGTTTTTTGCTCTTGCTCAATTGCTTCGGCTGAAGTTACAAATACTATATTGTAGAGGAATGGTGAGAGTGGATACCTTTGTCTTGTTCCTGATTTTAGAGGAAATGCTTTCAGTTTTTCCTGTTTAGTGTGATGCTGTCAATAGGTCTGTCTTAAATAAACTGTCTTTATCAGATTGAGATATTTTAGACCTATTTTCATCAGATTTTTATCAGGACTAGACATTGGATTTTATTGAAGACTTTTTCTACATCTATTGAGATGATCATGTAATTTTTGTCCTTGTTTCTGTTTAAGTGGTATATTTATTGATTTATGTATATTAAACCATCCTTGTATCACTGGGAAGAAGCCTACTTCATTGTGATGTATAATCTTTTAAATAATTAGTTGCATTCTGTTTGCCAAAATCTTGCTCAGTATTTTTTCATCTATGTTCATTAAGGAGATGGCATATAATTTTCTCTTCTTGGTAGGTCCATTTTTTACTTTGGTATAAGGCTAGTTCTTTGCGATTGCTAAATTTTTTAAAAGTGTGAATTCATAACTTCACTCTTAGAACTGCTTTTTTGTCCCATATGTTTTGGGAGGTTATGTTTTCATTGTCATTTAACTCTTGGAACTTCATTTCCTTCCCTATTTTTCCTGTGAGCCACTAAATATTCAATAATACATTGTTTAATCTCTATGTGTTTATGTCATGTCTGTGCTTTTACTATTGATTTCTAACTTCATTCCACTATGATCCAATAATATACAGAAGATTACTTCAATTTTTGTATTAATTTAAGCATGCTTTGTGCCCTAAGATATGATATATTTTGTGAAAAGTTCTGTGTACTCTTGAGAAAATGTGTATTCTGCTGCTGTCTGATGAAACAATTTTTAGGTATCTGTTAAGTCAAGTTGTTCAATGGTGTGGTTTAAAATTTTTTTTTTTTTTGATATATTTTGTGAAAAGTTCTGTGTACTCTTGAGAAAATGTGTATTCTGCTGCTGTCTGATGTTAATTTTGTTATTTGGTTGAACTTTCTAATTGTGAGAGAGGAGTATTGGAGTACCTGCCGTAACTATATTAGTATCTATCTGCTCCTTTAGTTTTTTATATGAAGTTGGATACACTAAGAGTTGGTGCACAAGAAAAATTAAATACTTAGGAGATAACCTAGCTAAGAAAGTGAAAGATCTCTACAGCAAAAACTACAGCACTATGAAAAAGAAAATAGAAGAAGATATCAGAAAATGAAAAGATATTCCCTGTTGCTGAATAGGCCTAACCAATATAATCAAAATGGCTATACTTTCAAAACTAGTATATAAATGTATTGCAATTCCAATCAAAATACAAATACATTCTTCACAGAACTAAAGCAAACAATCCTAAAATTAATACGGAACCAGAAGAGACCAGAACAACAAAAGCAATTTTGGGTAACAAAAACAAAGTGGGTAGTATCATCATTCTAGACTTGAAATTATATTACAAAGTGACAGTGATGAAAACAGCGTGGTAATGGCACAAAAACGGACATGTAGATCAATGGAGCAGAACAAAGGATGAATATACAACTCTGAGGAATTCAACTCTTTGATCCTTGACAAAGGGGCCAAAAACATACACTGGAGGAAAGATAGCTACTTTAATAAATGATGCTGGAAAAATTTGTCTATCCACATGCAGAAGATCAAATTTAAACTCGTATCTCTCAACATGTATTAAATTAAAATCAAATTAGATCAACAAACTAAATGTTAAAATAGAAATACTTAAACTGTTGGAAGATAAAAAGGTAAATCTCTTTAAGACATAGGTATAGGCAAGGACTTTCTGATCAGAACTCCAATTGTGGGCTGGAGATTTAGTTTAGTGGTTCTGCAATCTGCTTTGCAAGTGCAAAGACCCAAGTTTAATCCCTGGTACAAAAACAAAACAAAACAAAACAAAACCTTCAATTGTAAAAAACCATAGTACCAAGAAACAACAAATGGGATCATATCAAATTAAAAGGATTCCACTCTGAAAAAAAAAAAAGTGAAAAAAACAACTTAGAGAGTGGGAGAAAAAAATTTGCCAGCTATTCCTCAGACAAAGGACTAATAACTAGAATATATAAAGAATTTTAAAATTTAGACTTCCCCCCCAATTAAAAGATTTAGTTTTTAAAAATGAGCAATTAAAATGAATAGGCATTTCACAGAAGTATGGATGGCCAAGAAATTCATGAAGAAATGTTCAATACAATGGGCCATTAGATAAATGAAAATTAAAAAACACTGATACTCTATCTCAATCCAGAAAGAATGGCCATCATCAAAAAATCAAATAATACAAATGCTGGCAAGGCTTTGGAGAAAAAGGAACCCTTTACATTGTTGGTGTGAATGTAAACTATTACAACTACTATGGAAATCAGTATGGAGATTTCTCTAAAAACTAAAAATAGAAATTCCATTTTACACAGATATTTGCCTTCTAGGCATCTTCCCCCAAGAGTTAAAGACATCATATGACCATAATACATGCAAATCCATGTTTATAGCAGCACAATTCATAATAGCTAAATCTTGGAAACTGCCTATACATCCATCAACAGATGTATGGATAAATAAAATGTAGTGTTTACACATGATGTAAAATTACTCTACCATAAAGAAAGATAAACGAGTTATTTGTGAGAAAATGGATGCACCTTAAGACCATAATGTTAAGTGAAATAAATCAGATACAAAAGCTTAAATATCACAACCCTTTTGGATGAAGTAGGTATTCTCTAGGCAATATATGATCATATTTTTTCAATCCAATTTGCCAGTCTGCATTTTGATTGGGGAGTTAAGATCACTGACATTCAGAGTTAGTACTACAAGGCATTTACTGAAACCTACCATTGCATTATTTTTCCAGTGCTAATTCTCCTTTTCTTTCTTTCTTTCTTTCTTTCTTTCTCTCTTTCTTTCATTCAACTACTCTCCCAGTTGGATGTATACTTTGTTTGGGGCTCTTTTGGTGCCATTAACTACCTTGTCTCTGTCTCAGATTTGTCTATTTTTTGAAATGTATTCCTTTAGGATTTATTTGTCATAGGAAGTCTTCTCTGTCAATTTAGAAAGGTAATTTTTCAGGATACAGAAGTCTGGGATGACAGTTGCTTTGTTTTAGGGCTTGAAAAAACTTCATTCCAAGGTCTCCTGGCCACTAAGGTTTATGTTAGGAAATCCACTCTAATCCTGCTAGGTTTACCTTTACAGTTAATTTTCTGTTGTTTTGTAATATCTTTCAGCGTTCTCTCCTTTTGTTGAATTTCTGGATTTTTGATATGATTATTATGTAAAGGTCCTTTTCTGTTCTCTGTTATTTGGGGTTCTATATTCCTTTTGAAATTGGACATTGAATTCTTTCCCTGGAAGTTTCTTTGGAAACTTTTCTGCTGTGACTTTAGTGAATAATTTTATATTTTTTGAGTCATCTTTAAATTTTTCTTTTATTTCTACAATTCTGTTGTTGGTTTATTTGTTTTGTTTTGTCATCTAGCAGCTGTTGGATCCAACTTGCATGCTGTTTTGTTTTTAGAGTATCTATTATACCTACCCTGTCTTTAATTTCTGACGCTCTATTCTCTCCTTATATCTGCTATCCATTTTTTTCTATTGATTTTTTCAGAGCTTGTATTTTTGTTTGCTTTCTTTTATAATTTTTAATTCCTTACCCAACTGGTCATTAAGATCTTGTACTGTCTTGTTTAACTCAGTTTATTGTTTGTTTCTTCTTTAAGATCATCAAACATTTTATTAGTAAAATTCTTTGTTTAATAAAATCTTCTTTAATTCACTAAACATATTATGAATTTGCTTATGTGTTTTTTCTTTGGTCTCTTCAAGCATTTTGATCATTTGGTTTTTGAGTTCTTTACCTAGAATTTCTTCTACTTCAGGGCCCATGAAATAAGCGTTTGGGGTGTTAAGGGTTTTACAAGTATTTCATTCCCTTGTTTTCTCATATTTCTATTGTTTTTGTGTTGCAAGTTGAAGATTAGTTAGGATACAAAACTCTGTCACTACTGTGGAGATCTCTTCAATTAGAATCTGTATCTGTATGATCTGTCTTTTTGTTTGGTTGTGTTTTGGTGTCTATACCCCTTTTTAACCCACTCAGCCTAATATTCCAGGGGTCTTCTTAGTGCCTATAGCAGTTAAATTTCACTAGAGGAAACTAGAATTTACTAAATTGACTTACATTGACCACCTGAAGAATCAGGAGTGGCAAAATTCAAAATGGTCACCTGAGCGCTGAAAAGGTCAGAGGACCAGTCAGAAGTTGAAGGCCTGGAGCTCACTGCAGTCAGTGTGAGTCTGTGTTAAAAAGTTGAAGAGTCTTCACTGAAAGGCTGAAGATTCTACACTGAAAGCCTAAAGGAATGAGAGACAAACATACACAGGTGATAGCAAAGACCAGTATTCTCCCAGAGAAACAAAATGCAAGACTTTCCCCTCCTTTCTCCTTTTATTCTGTCCAAGTTACAAGCATATTAGTTAGTGCCACCCATATCTAGGGTGGGTCCTCCCTCCTCAATTTGTAGCCTACATGTCAATAATCCACAGACACACGGAGAATTGTATTCTACTAATCTGCTAGGCATTTCTTAATCCATTCAAGTTGGTATCACAATGAACTATCACAATACTTAATCTTCTTCTGGAGGCTTGATTCCCAACATTATTCAGAGAGGAAAAAACAAGCAGCAGTAATGTTTTGGGGGGTTTTGTTTTGTTTTGTTTTATTTTTGGGATCAAACTCAGGCCCTTGTGCTTGTGAGGCAGGCAGCAGAACCACTGAGTCAAATCCCCAGCTATAGCAGTAATGTTGATGACAAACTAGATATTGACATACTGTAAAAAATACCATATAGCAGCAACTATCCCATCACTGGCAATGGCAAAGAAATCAGCAATAGTTAAAAACAAATCAGTTATTGATATATACCATTAGAACTAATAAAATATACCATAAAAAACTAATGATGCTACCAGGATACTACTTTTAATGGAAGAAAAGAGATCTGTAGTTATAATATAGACACAAAGATAAGCCAAATATTGACATATGGTAAATACAACTATTATACCACCATTATCAATAGAATATTGATATATAGAATAGAATAGTAGCATAGAATCAAATAATTATCTAAAAATTAAGAAAGATTAATAATAATAATAATAATAATAATAATAATAATAGAAGGTATGGAGTAAGGGAATAATGACAGAAGTAAAATTAGTAAAAGAAAAAACAGATGATGAGGAGAGAAAAATGAGATAAATAATCCAATGAAAGAAAAAATTATTAGAGTTAAGCAGAAGTAGCAGAAAAAAAAAGAATAAAAAAGTAGCATAAAGAGAAAAAACAAACCCCAAAATAAACAAGTAAAAAGAGAAATAAGTCCAAAAATTTCCTCTGCACATTTGAGTGAGCGGTTTATTTCCACGGCCTACAGTGCTGAGATCATCCGTATGGCAGAGGGATAGTGACTCATGGGGCCTCTTCTGTTTCCATGCCCATGTTCCCTGTGTGTGAAGGCTGAGTCCTAGAGAGACTGTGATACGCTGCCAGTCTTCCCTGCCTCTCTCATAGCTTACCTTTTAAGGCCCCCTCTCTTCTGTTTTTAAGGGCTCTTTGTACATATGCATAAACCAATACGTATTCTCTTTATCTGTAATACATGTTGCAAATATTACTGCTCATTTTCACTTAACTTTATTTTCCTGCAAATATTTTGTCTTGAAATTTAGAATAGAAAAGTTGTCAGAATAGCATAGAGAATTATCTTATACCTCCCATTCAGATTCATCAGTTGATATTTGTCACATTTGCTTTTATCTCTCTCTCTCTCCCTCTTGCCGAACATTTGAGAGTATTTCCCTAAAATATTTCTATGTTAAATTCCTAAAATTACCAGACAACAGAAAAACTTAAGTTTATGTAGTATTACCTACTCTGCAGGTTTATTCCAATTTGGTCAATTATCCCCATAAAAATCTTTTACAGATTTTTTTTTAAGTCTAAATGTCAATGCAGGATTATGCACTGCATTTAGTTTTGGTATCTCTTTGATTTTCTTTAAGCTGGTACGGTTCCTCAGTCTTTCCTTGTGTTTCATGACACTGACATTTTTGAAAAGCACAAACCATTAATTTTGCAGAGTCTCATCACTGTGGCTTTATCTAATGTTTCCTCATGTTTGGACTTGGATTGTGTATTTGTAGTACAGCTTTCCTAGTATAGCACAAGAGACACACGGTGCTGATTCAAGTGGTGATGTTGACTTAGATCATCAGATTAAAGAGGTAACTACCAAGATTCTCCACTCATGATAAATTTATCTCCCATTTATAATTTATAAATAATCTGTAGGACAATTCTTTAAAACTAGATAGCCTGTTATAATAGCCTACTCTTCATCAAACTGTCACCAATTTTTTCCCTTATAAATTACTTGCCTGAATTAATTAGTACTCTGGTATTTGCAAAATAGTGATTTAATAATTCTATCCTTTCTACTATTGTAACTAGTAATCATGCTATTGTTAAGAAGAGCTTTTTTCTTATCTATCTGTTTAAAGTCTGCACAGACTTATGGATTCCTATTTTATTCAATAAGTTATATATTTCATTCCTATCATTTGTTTTGATGTATAGCAAACATTTTTCATTTCCAAGAACTTTGTCTCATTCCTCGATCACATCTTTGCTGCAATTGTTCTCATTGATTTAAATAGGAGTTGTCTTTAAATGTTCAATTCTCCATAGTCTGTTTTTTCCCCCCTTGCTCCCTTTTTCTTGAAAAAATGGTTTCTAAGCATTCTTAGTCTCCCATTCATCAAAAAACAATGGAGCACACAGGCCAATGCAATGGCTGGCAATTTCCTCTCAGTTGTGTGAGTCTCTTCCTTAAGAGGCTTCTCCCTGAATATGGGGGCACCGCTGCCTCCACACAATGACCATGTATACTGACAGCAGCTTCACTTTAGAGTGTGAGACTGGGGAGCTGCTTACTACTTAACCTCTTCCCCCTTGAGAAACAAGGGACTTTGCCACAGGACTCCAGCCATCCACATTGGAAACTCTTACTCTCTCCCTAGGCAGCTTTTATGATGTCTTGGGCTGACAGCATACCCAGGTTTGTCCTGAAGATGAACCTGCAGCTGTCAGCTCTTCTGCAGCCCCATGGGTGAGACAAGGGAGTACTTAGGCATTACGGGCTGGGGAGGGGACCTGGCACAGCCTTGCCACAGGCAGCTTTCCAGCACACACTTCCCCCACAGTTTATGTGCCACCTCCCACACTACCTCTACCTGGCAAGTCCAGGCTTCCAGCCCTCCTGGAAAGATGGGCTCCAGGGTGAGTGACAGACCTCCTTCTGGCAGTGGCAGGCTCCTCCATCTGTTTACCTGTCAGTGTGTACCTTTTCACTGTCTGCCTTCCAAACATTTGTTAATAACTCCCATGTGATGATAAACCTGCTTCCACTCTTCACGTTGCTAGGGGTTTGTTTCCTCTGAACTTTCATCCTAATTTCTGTAGATTTTGGAGAGAGGACGGGGAGTCAAATGCATATGATTCTCTCCTTCTGATCTAGAAATTCACATGGTAACGTGGTATGGTGTTAAGAGCATTTGACTGGGAGAATAGAGACTAGAGTTCCTGTGTTAATTCCACCTCGACCTATTATCTCCATGTTCTTGTATTTCTTTTTTAATTGGTCCCTTACAGTCTCAACATTTCGAGATTATTCAGGGAATATTTTTCCCACATAGCTGTTAACTGTGAGCTGACTCTGTGAGCCTCAACCTGACATTTGTTCCTGCCGCCCCAACACATGATAACTGAACATTTGTGTCACCTTCCTCTTTCTCACAGTCCAAGGAATGTCAAAGGTTTTAAGCATGAAGAGGATCAGGAGCAAATTATTCATTGAGAATTGAGGGCTGAGGAGTCTCAAAATGATGCAAGGCCCTTTCATCCCCTTCCTATTTAAAAATCTCATAACAACAACGAACTCTACTCTTTCTTAAGAATTGTCTTTCCTTGAAACTGGAAGTCACTAAAAAGTGCTTAAGTTAAATGTGTATGGGAAGTAGCAGAAGAACAGCTACTTGGTACTACCTCAGGGGTGAGAATGTATTAATTCCTCCAAAGAGAAGCTCCTGGAAGCCCAAGGACACTTAGAACAAAGCCCTTGCACTCCAGGAACCTACAGTTTTATCAGTCAGATTTTTAGTCATGGAGCCATATTGTAGAGAATCAGTCAAGTATTTTCTGATAAATGTGGCAACGCACGAGACAATAGCCTAGAGGGTGCAGTCTGTTACTGCTAAAATATTGCCAAAGACTGGAATGGAAAATGTGAATCTCATCATAAGGCGTCCATGAAGCACACTTCTCAGAGATGAGCCAGACCACAGGGAAGGAAGTGTGCCAAGATGGCATGCCAAGCGGATACAGGAAGCGTGGATGCAGGAAGTAAGAGCCAGCATCTCAGCTCACCCTGCACCATTTACTCATACAGAAGAGGCTTGCTAAAGTTCGCCAGAAATGACGTAGATCTTATGTAGAACATTCAGATACACAGCCCACTGTGTATAACACGGATTAGAAAAATGAGATAGGGTTTACTTAGGCCGGTTTTAGCATTTGCTACAGATATCTCTTGCTGTATAACTGACCACCCCAAAAGCTGGCAGCTTAAAAAAAACCATTTCATTTTATCTTATTTTGTGAGCCAGAAATTTGAAACTCGGTGGAACAATTCTTTTTATTTCCCACGGCCTAAATGAATGTGCTTGGTAACCTCAGGCGTGGCGTTCATTTGGTGGTATTCACAGGCTGGTCTGCAGCGTCCAAAACACCTTCTCTTTCCTGCCTGGTACCACGGTGTTGGATGGAAAGCTGTGCCCAGCACGCAGTGTTAACAGGAATGCCCACGTGCAATCACTTCAGCATGGCAGTCTCCGAGTAACCGGACCTCTTTAGAGGTGGTTCAGGACTCTAAGAGAAAGTGTTTCAAGAGATAGGAAATGGAAACTGCTAATGTTTTAAGGCCTGAGCAAGGAAACGGCCCCAGCACCACTTCCTTGTATTTTATATCATCACAGAGCAATCCAGACTCAAAGGGAGAGGAAATAGACTTTACTTTTTGATGGAAGACCTATCGAAGAATTTATGGTCTCCTTATGCCAGTACAACCCAAAAGAGGAGACTAGAGGGTAGACTGCTACACTGTGCTACTCAGGGTTCTCAGAGACACATCATCAATAGGATAGATAGAGACATACAAGAAGGGGTCTGTTGGGGAAGTAGTTCACATTATTATGGAAGCTGAGGAGGCCCAGAACAGGCTGCTTGAAAG